ACAATCCACCATAATGAACTTTAATGTAAGTTCCTGCAAGGTGATTTTTAATCTTTGTGAAACGCATAAAACCAATGGCTCCCTGGAAAGTATGAAATTAATCTTAATCATAGCAGGCTTTTGAAAATGGTCCCCAGTAATGAGATTTGTAGTTAATGGGCTAAAACTCTGATTAATTTTTTTCTTAACATTCACCATAATTTAAACACCTAAATCTTAGTAAGGGTTATTTTTTAAATCAGAAAGCTTGTTTCCTCTCAGTCATTTTAAAGTGACATGTTGTTGATGCTCATCCACTCCTTCATTTCTCAATCTCTTCTTCTTCATCTTCCTCCACATAACAACAGTCTCATATTCCCTCTTTCTTTATGTGTGTGTGTCTCTGTGTGAGTGTGTATATGTACATTTAAGTGCACACTGTACTCTGGCCATCTAAGACTGTTGCTAGGCTACAACAGGAAGTGTCCTGCATAGTAAATGTGTCCGCGGAGGGCGGTCTGTGTAATTGACTTGGCAAGGGCATAGACGTGCATGCAAAGAAACAAAATACACAAATACACACACGCTGGAGAAGCACTTCATTCTCACACACGCGCACAGACACACACACGTACACACACACATCCCAGGGTATCATGACATCCATCAGCAGGTTGTATTAAGGCAGTGGTTTAAGGCAGGTTGGGCTCGTCTAACTGAGGCTGCAAGAGAGTGGGGAAAATATGCCTCCCCTGTAGCCTGTAGTGTGTGTGTGTGTGTGTGTGTGTGTGTTTGTGTGTTTGTGTGTTTGCGTGCCTGCAATGATTCTCTTTTACGACCTTTCTGCCGTTATATGGAGCCGAACACCAGAGAACCTCCTCTTCTTCATCTCAAGACACTCGCACCAAGTGCTCTGCGTGCCTTCCACCGCCTGAGTTTTACTCTGACTTGGCAAGTGCAATTAATCATAATTAGGTGTAGATGATTTCACCCACAGGCATGTCAGCATGACGCCTCCCTCAAGCTGCACATGATGAGAGATGAGACAGAACTATTACAGGTACAATATAAACTTTTATAGACAAAATGATGAGCAGTGAAAATACACAGGAAAATACTCAAAAACACACGTCACATTTCAGAACATGATTTATTTTTCATTTCAAGAACAAGGTTTTTCCTGGCCTTAAATTAGGCAGGGACACGGACCCAGGGACCCCGGTGAGCTCCACTGCCCGGGCCAGAGGGCTCACAGCCCGGCCACTGCACCATCAAGCCCAGGCAGATGCAGAGAGAGCAATGCACAGCTCCACAAAGTTCACTTACTGTGATCATTTAGGTTCTTTTCATCCACAGGTTTTACCGGCTCTGTCAGTAATTTACTGCTCCTCTCTTTGTCTCTATCATTCGCGCTGTGCTCTGCCAACAGGAGAGAGAGGAACAGAGAATGAAGGATACGGATGTAGAGCAGATTCGTTTTTATTTACACTGAAACAAGGAGTTGATTGAAATTTTTACATGCAACTTTGACAATTAAAAAAAAAAACAAAAAACAAGATGTGGATAATGAACACAATCAGCAGTCGTAGCCTGAACTTCCAGTCGAGAAGCGCTTCTGTAACAGACATCTTTCAGTTTTAAACACGATAATATACAACACCTGTGTCCTCTATAATGACAAATACAGATATCATGCAACATGTATGTAGCTTGTCAATCACCTTGGTTTATGAATGCATACTCTTGTATTGTGTGTTAAAAGAACTGCAGGGAGGACTCAGAGTAACGGTGCGGCCGCCTGGAGGCTGATTGGAGATGAGCTTGGTATCAGTTTGCCAATCGAGCGTAGCAAACATAGTCAATTTGGTCTGGTATCGCTCATACACACCTGGTCTGGTGGTGTGTGTGTGTGAGTGACAGATGTGTGATATCACATCTGGTCAAATTACCTCCGAGGGATTAAAGAGGGGGGGAAATATAGCGGGATTGGACACGTGTGAGATCATTTCATTTGAAGCGTCACTGCGATGATTGAAGGTAATGCATAGCATGCTCAGTAGAATTGATGGAAGCGTTTGTGTGCAGCAGCAAACAGTATGTGCGTTTGTTTTGCTTTGTGGAGTCACTGCGTCAGTGCATTGCGGTTTGCAGAAGATGTATTAGCAGAGGCAAAGTGAAAGGGCCGCAGGAAGTCCACGCTTTGTGTCATATTTGTTTGTCAAGCTCGCAGCCGATCGCTGTTTCGCCGACATTAGCGTTCGGCTCAGTCATGTTCACGTTGGACCTGCTTTTCACAGGCCACTGGTCTGAGCTGTGAGGCATGAGAGAGGAGGAGGAGACGGGGAGTGCGAGGGACAGGGGAGACGAGGACGTACGCGAGACATTTAGAGGGAGGAAGGGATAGAATAATGAAAGGCATAAAGAGGAGATTGTGAGAAGTTAAGAGGGTTAGATGGTGAGCGAGAGAGAGAATCAGAGGGATAAGAGAGCCAGAGAGCCAGAGGGAACGAGGGAGAAACTGCAGATCTAGGTCAGAGAGGCAAAGCAGGCGACGGACGAGTGGAGGAAGGGATGAGCGGGCCTGTAGGGCTCAAAGATGCTCGTCCTGAATGGGATGGATAAGGGAAAGAGAGTGAGGGCCTTCCCTACCAGGGAGAGAGAGAGTGGAAAAGAATGAAATCCTCTTTTTGTCATTATTTATCACACAGCTAACGATTGTTTCCATTTTTAATTAAGGGACTAGTTCAAGATGAGACTACAATATTTATGTGTTAAGAATGGAGCAAGAGCCTGCAGCTGGTTAGCTTCGCTTAAAAACAGCTGGAAAAGATAGAAACAAGGGCGACAGAATAATTTAGGGGCTGCATCCTTTGGGAGCCGCATTTTAAGACCAATTACGTCACAGTGGCGCTACTAATATTGTTTTGATATTATTTTTAAAATGCTGTTCTTCTTTGGAAACAATATTTGATTTGACATTTCTGAAACCAAGGCCCACCTCTTTCCTCTGCCTTATGAATTTGAAAATAAATGAAGAGGAAGAGGACAAAGAAGGAGCGAGAGATGAAGATGAACAGACGGCGCCAGTTCTTTTCTGCTGCTCCTTTCACACTGGGTCATTTGTGATGTAAGGGAGGTTTGTCAGGTGGCTCTGAGTAATGAATCTTTACACGGCTCTGATAATATCCATATCCAATATCTATTCGACACATTCTCTCTCGCTCGCTCTCTCAGTCACTCTTGAACTCGCTCAATCATTATCTCTCTCCGTATTTCTGTGTGCAGATGTGTGGGTGTTTGTAAGGCTTCTTCTGTGTGAGTGAGCAGTGGTTGAAAAGAATGGGGAATATCTTTTTTTGTATGTGCATGTGTCTGCAAGTGTGTGTGTGTGTGTGTGTGTGTCTGAGTTTCTGGTTCACAAGTGGCTGTAATCCCTTTGTTGGTCGCCAACAAAGCCAGTCCTTGTGCTTGTGGAATTGGGGCAGTCTGATCCTAATGAGAAATCCCTGTTCAATCTTTCCAGCTCTTATACTCTCACAGAATATGGACTGTGTGTGTGTGTGTGATCACGGTGTTCAACCATGCTTAGTTTGCATTATGCAGAGCTGGATTTTGACAAAGTATATTATCAATATAAAACTCTAACTTTCTCTTTAGCAATAAATCGGCAAGTTTAAACATTTTTTTCTTAATTCCAGATGACCAATGGAGAAATGTGTTCCTACTTAAACAGAGAGCGTATTTTCTATCAGATTAAAACGATCCATGATTATCTAGATAATCTAGCGTTTTATGTTTTACAAGACATAAGGGCAGAAATGACTTAACTTCAGCAAAGCACCATATTTCTTTTTCAATTTCAACTTATAACTTAGTCTTTGCTTTGAAATCCGAGCCCCTGTCCAAACACCAGGGCGGCTAATGGTCAATGACATCACATTTCAACCTCAGCGGACAGTGTAAAGGAGCAAGAATTTGAGTTTCCTACACTATTTCACAGTTGATAACTTTATACAACGAATAACCTCCAACCGCTCACAAGCTATTCATCCAGTAAAGTGAGTGTTGGCGAGCGTTTGGTGCACTTGATCTGTTAAAATGACATAAAAAAAGAATGTGAAGCGGTGGGAATGACAAATGACTGGCAGCGGGGCACAGAGACTGTCTGCTTACTGTAAAAATCACTCCTTCAAATGAATTGCAAAGCAACGACTGCACCAAGTTTTAGCAACATGGCTGTGTTGTTCCTCGCTTCTGTTGTGGCTGTGCTGCTCATTATCAGAATGGCCCTTTGATTAAAGCCCTCAGGAGGCGCTTTAGAGCCAGACCCTTAATGCCATCTGGTTTATAACAGATCCACCAGGAGAACAGTGTGGCCCTTGTTTAGCGTGTGTGTGTGTGTGTATGTATTTGTTTGTTTGTGCCACTGCTGCTGAGCTGTTGTTCTCAGACTGTAACATGCTAATCAGTTGAGTCCAGACAGGTGGAAGTAATGGCCGTCAGTGGTTTTAGCGTCTCCAGTCCTGTTAGCTTCATTAGCGCTCCACAGCCGCAGATGCTCTGTTGCAAACAAACTACTCGGGCCTTCCTTTTTCGCCCTCAGCTTCCAGTCTCCTGGTTCCTCGCCTCTTCGCTCCCCCAGGCATCCTCCTGGCCTCAATATTACACAACCAATGCACGTCTGTGGATCGGGATGTGTGTTTGATTGTTCGTTTGTCTTGAAGTACAAACCAACATTTTCAGATTGACGCTGGTTCGACATTAGGATGTCACATCGTGAGTTCTGTCACTTCTTCCACTTGATTTTGTCAGAGACAACAACAAAGTCTTCTTGTTCTCAGGTGCTGATTAGCATTTCCTGATTGGGGTTCGTACAGTGTTCACACAGAATCTATATTTCCCTCTGATGCTTTCTGTTATATATTTTAAAATGCAGCTCAATATTTGACTGAAAGAGGAAGAGTCGCACTAACTCTTTTTATTGTCTCCCTGTCTGTCCTTTTCCTTCCTCCTCCGACCAGGGACGCCATGTTAAGACTGGGCAGCTGGCGGCCATCAAGGTCATGGATGTCACCGGGGTAAGAAACACAGATATGTGCACTCTGGCACTAATTCACACGCACGCACGTTCCCAAGCAAAGTAAATAATCTCAAGTGATTATGCCAGCGTTGACCATGTCATCTAATTATAAGTGATGAGTCACTGCTGGTGTGTGTGTGTGTGTGTGTGTGTGACGTGGCAGAGAGGAAATGAGGACAGGCCTATTGCCATGGTAATATTACTTGGAGTTATTAGAACAGCAGTGTGGTCTCAGGCGTGTCGGTTTAGCAGGAGGGAATCTCAGCTATATTTAGACATCCCTTCACCCTACGTGTCCCACTCAGCGCTCAGCTACCAGCAAGACAATGTAGGTCCGCAGGAATGAAGCAAACAAAGGAACCAATGAGCGAGTGAGGGCGCAAATTAATGAACGAATAAGGAAATGAGCATACTGCGGGCAGGAAGGTGTAAGGAGATGAATGAGGAAGAGAAGAGAGGCAGTGAAGAATGAATGAACTGTGTGTAAATGACTCTGTGTAAATAAATCTGCTTAAATCCAATAAAATGTAATGACTGTGTTAATTAATGACGGAATATTAAATAAAGGCCAAACACATGATTGCAAAGTGAATGAGCTGCTACTGTACAAAAATCAGCTTGTTTTTGTTTCCTTCATCAATCAGCTCTAGATTGATCAATCAACGCATAATTTCCTGACTTTGCAGATAATGAATAAGAAATTAATTTCGGTAATCAACTGCCACCGTAACAACTTGTTTCAAGCTGCTGCTTCGTGCTTAACCCTCTAAAATGAAAGCAACTGAACAGTACTGCAGTTACTGTGGATAATTCATGGTCGAGCTGTGTGTATGGCAGAAAAAAAAACATTTAGCAGAATTTAAAATGATTCAAAATGCAAATTCGTCAACAGATGGAACTCTGTTTGCTCCGTCACCATCCTACTAATGTGTGTGGGAGGGGAGGTCACACAAAGAGGTTGTGCTTGAATACCTGTTGATTTGTCTCGTTCCTTGTTTGTGTGTGTGTGTGTGTGTCAGGATGAGGAAGAGGAGATTAAAGCGGAAATCAACATGCTGAAGAAATACAGTCACCATCGGAACATTGCCACCTACTATGGAGCGTTCATCAAGAAGAACCCTCCTGGCATCGATGACCAGCTTTGGGTAGGACTTTACTTTAGTGTGTTTGTGCAAGTTTTTTTGTGAAAGTGTGAATTGTACAGTATTAATAATTATCAATATAAATTTCATCAGGAGCAATATAACAAAAGTTCAGTGTATATATGGATTTAATGCTTATGCACATTGTGTAAGCAGAGGGATTATGTGTAACACAGAATTGATCGACCTCAGATTTGAAAAATTTGTAATTTTCTGCACTCAAGGAGAAAATTCTGTCTTTTAACTTAAAAGAAATTAAAAATGACTCGTGATAATTATCAAAATCGACCAATTGGTACTTTTAATGTAATTTTTGCCCATTTTGCTGACAAAGAGAAGATTGTAGGCTGTTAGAAAAAATTGAGCAAAAGAGAAAAGAAAGTTTCTATTTTATTTTTCTCCACCGTTGTCTTTAACATCTTCTATTGTATTTGTAGCGATGCATGTGGTGACTACGTTTGTTTGTAAAGGGAGTATATAGTATATATATATATATATATATATATATATATATATATACTTAGTGTGTGAGACATAAGGGATATGAATGAGTACGTGGCTGACTGGTTACTGCAATAAATCATGTGTTAACGTGATCTGAGGGAGCTCTCTCTTCTCTGATCCTGTAGCATTCATCACGCAGCAATGAGAGGACACACACACACRCACACAAACACACACACACACACACACACACACACACGCATACACAGTAGCCAGATCTACTGCCTGCTCAATTCCCACTGACTCAACAGCCGCCTGTTTTCTCTGTGTGTTTTTTAGAGAAGAGTTTTATGTTGGTTTGTTTTTACATTTGTCTCATTGTGTGTCTGAAGTACTTGTGCGTGGCCTGGATGAGAGGGGTTCCACTATTACTCACTGACTTCCTCTCTCACTTTAATCCTGATCGATGATGAAGGGAGCTGGAAGCAGAGCCAGAAGTGACCAGCTGTAATTTTGGCTGCAAACGGATGTGAGAGAGGAGAGCAGAGGAGGGAAAGAGAGGAGAGGAGAGGAAGAGGGGTGGATAGAAAAGGACACGTTGTGTTTGGGTCAAGAGATGGACGCAATTCATTCATGTGATCTCGTGACCCTGTTGAGTCAGTTCATACCAGAAGTCTCTGTGGAGTGAGTGTTGGAGAGAATGACAGAGAGATTGTCTGAACGTCTAACATGGCTGTGTGTAGTAAGTAATATGAGTATGGGATTCTGTGTACTTCCTTTATAATGTGCATCATGTTAAAGAAATCACTTTCCATTCTGTACACATGCATTAGTACAAGCCACCAAAAATGAATACATCCAAAACACAGTTTAATTTAGACACAGTCTGATGAATACCAGGCTCAATATGCCTTGAACAGTATCATATAAACAAAATAAGTTTATATCAGCCAATCATTTTTGTCATGAAGATGTTTTCATGACATCAGTTGAGATATTTTCTAGTTAAAAGTCCGATTTAAAAGTGAAAAAAACCGAGCAGCGAATAACCATCCTTGTACGTGTGCAGCTGGTCATGGAGTTCTGTGGAGCCGGATCCGTGACGGACCTGATCAAGAACACTAAGGGGAATTCTCTGAAAGAGGAGTGGACCGCTTACATCTGCAGAGAGATTCTCAGGGTACGTTGTCACAACCCACAGTTTTTAGAAAATGTGTCTTTATCTTAGAAGATGTTGCTCAAAAATAAACAGACACGCTAGAGGGGAAATAATATTGTTAGGTCAGGAAAGTGGGAACATATCAGAGATGATGTGAATTCTTCTAATTGAGGCGTTCTCCAAATCTCACAGCAAAAACTATATAGACTCATGATAGTATATTACTACTAAGACTTTATTTCTCTAAAGATAATTGCAGTAATAATAATGGTAATGACTTCATGGTGTGTCTGTGTGACTGTCTGCAGGGTCTGACTCATCTCCACCAGCACAAGGTCATCCACAGAGACATCAAGGGGCAGAATGTCCTGCTGACGGAGAACGCAGAGGTCAAACTGGGTCAGTCCGTCATCCAACCCCCTCTTGATAAAAAACGGCTTTAGGATTGGGAGAGGAGTGGTATAAAGTTTCAAATGGCTCGGAGGTGTGCGTGTGTGTGAGACTCCTCTTTTTTCCTTTTTATGCTGAACACCAGCCGACTCATCTCTCTGTAGCTCTGCCACTGCTCATGGTGCAGACTGCTGAAGAAGGAACTCTCTCTCTCTCTCTCTCTCCTCTTCTCTTCCTCTGTGTCTCTCTGTCTCTTTCTGTTTTGCTCTCCCCTTAAGGCCCAGTGGGGAGGGGATTATAAAGTGCGTGCGTGTGTGTGTTTGTAAATCGGCAAGCTATTGCAGGTTGGGTAATGCTTTCCTGTTTAGTCCCCATTATTGAATCCACCAAAGCCCACAGGTATAATTGTGCATCAGTGCACACAAAAAAAACACACACTGAAGACAACACGCATCAAAGAGCACCGCACAACGTAACCCGAAATTGTGTGTGTGTGTGTGTGTGTGTGTGTGTGTGTGCGTGTGCGTGTGCGTGTGTGTTTGCCGTGCAGTGGACTTTGGTGTTTCGGCCCAGCTGGACAGGACAGTAGGTCGGAGAAACACATTTATTGGGACCCCATATTGGATGGCGCCGGAGGTCATCGCTTGTGACGAGAACCCTGAGGCCACGTATGACTTCAAGGTGCATTAACGACCACATTCCCTCTGATAGATGTCTGTCTGTCTCTCGAGGTCGTCTTTTAATCATCTCGAGTATTCATGCCCTGTGTCTGTTTCACTGCAGAGTGATTTATGGTCCCTGGGAATCACGGCAATCGAGATGGCTGAGGGAGCACCACGTACGTACCCACTCAATTACCCCACACCCTTGCTACACATCAGTTCTCAGTGCAACTTCAGTAGATCACTAGTACGATAATTTTTCAATCCCGGCCAATGCAACTTATCTTAAGCCATAATTTTAATGAAGGCCAAGCAGTGAGTATAAAATTAGTTGTTAAATTACTGGGCCTCTGCCTGAAATCTCTGGACGATAACCTCAGTGTTTCCTGCTTTGTCTCTTCATAATCTGATTCCTATAGGTGCTCGCTCACTGTCTTTTTGATTAGAAGTAAAGTTAATAACCAATTTCTCATTAAACCTGGACACGCTACATTGAGTAATTTATGTTTTTATTCAGAATCATAAATCTGTACGGGAATCAAAGACTGTACCCTTGGTCGACTCATGCACCATCTGTGAGAGTGATAACCATCTTAGGTTTTCTATAGGAAGACAAGACCAAGTTGACATTATTAGTATGGACAGGTTATATTGATGTGCGGGCTAACTCCAGTTGGCTTTGACTACATGACGTGATAATGTTTGCTACAATTAGCCACAAACGTTTATCAGCAAACTGTGATATCTGACTCTTTAGCGCTGTGCGACATGCACCCAATGAGAGCCCTCTTCCTCATCCCACGCAACCCTGCGCCGAGACTCAAGTCAAAGAAGTGGTGAGTGTATATCTTGATAATTGTGTCGCAGTGAGAGCAACATAAATAAAATGAGGACAGAAACTCAGTGGATGCAATGCGACTGACCATGGATATATACAGCCTGTTGTTTCTGTTGCACCAACCTTACGAGAAAAAAATATCCCATTTTAACCTCATGTGTGCAGGTTTATATCTGTTAAACTGTCTTTTATTAGTCGTTGGACATACATTAATCATTCATATCATGTATGCACAATGACGGTTCAAGTTTTTAATTTGCGTAACTGCTGTACGCTCGTGTGGTTCCAGGTCAAAGAAGTTCCAGTCGTTCATAGAGAGCTGTCTGGTGAAGAGCCACGGCCAGAGACCCAGCACAGAGCAGCTGCTCAAGCACCCGTTCATCAGGGACCTGCCCAACGAGAGGCAGGTCCGCATCCAGCTGAAGGACCACATCGACCGCACCAAGAAGAAGAGGGGAGAGAGGGGTGAGAGAACGGCAGACGTGTCGATTTTTGGGGAGTTTTATTTACGCAATGAATCACTGGATCCTTTATGAGTGACCTATCCGATACGCAGACGTGGCATATCGGACGTTCAACACACAGAGGTGGAGCTGTGAGGTTGAGATGTAAAAGACATTTACACTCAGATCCATATTCTCACACATTAATAGTTAATGAAAAATAAAAGTGACAGACTTCATTCCACTCCACTACGTCACACAAAGTGTCTGAGTGATAGATTGACACTCGCACACAGAACAGAGCAGCAAGAACCACATTTTCCGCTTTAAGAAACGACACACTGCGGGGTTGAAATGTCTTGTGATTGCTTTGTCACATTCGGAGCACCAGTCTCAGGAAGAGCTGGGACGCTTCCAAAGCCGTTACGCTTTCAGCCCCGTTTGCCTGAAAGAGCTCAGAGCGAATGTTCTCCATCTCGCTACACACACAGTAAAATTACAATTTATACTCTTATTCAAAGTGGCTAAAAGAAAGTGCCCTGAAGGAGTGAGGATCTGGGAATGCCAGGATCGTGAGCTGTTTAGTAATGAGCGGAAGGAGTGCAAGTGAAACGTGCAAATAATGAAGTGGAATGGCTTCGCTCTCTGTTTGATTTTACCTAACTTACTCACTCTGGCTTTGTTATTTCAATTCTTTCCGTCTCTCCGTTCCCTCAGATGAGACAGAGTACGAGTACAGTGGCAGTGAAGAGGAGGATGAAGAGAGAGACATGGGTGAACCAAGGTCAGTATCTTCACAGATCTAACACATTCGCCATCTCCTCACTGACTCAAACTCACACCTGTCTTCTCATTGGGTCCAGCTCCATCATCAACACCCCCGGGGAGTCCACCCTGAGGCGGGACTTCCTGCGCCTCCAGCTTGCCAACAAGGAGCGCTCGGAGGCGCAGCGGCGGCAGCAGCTGGAGCAGCAGCAAAACGAGGAGCACAAGCGCTTACTGTTGGCCGAGAGACAGAAACGCATAGAGGAGCAGAAGGAGCAGAGGCGGCGGCTGGAGGAGGTAACCAGGAGGAGGTTAAAGTGCAGCCATGACCGATGGGTGGAAGCATGTATTTACAGAAGCTTCCACAGAAACCCGACATAAGTAAATACAGTATATTTGAGTTTGCAGATTGGCTTTGCACCAGATAGGATCGGTCATTAGTCACAGAACAGTATCGAGGATAACTTGAAAATAACCATAATCAAATTCATCAGAACATTGAAGAGCCAGTGGAAGCTCTCTGCTCCGCTCTCCATGCTGTCGTCTCTATTGCACTTTTAGACCTATCTGCAAACATTATTTGTCCTAGTTCTGGTTGTTGAAACTTAAAAAACACTACATTCACCATTTGGTAGAAGCTGAGAGAGGGAGCGACACACACACACACTCACACACACGCTCACTAACACATACACGCAGCCTTTCCCCAGCGTCCCTCTCTTAGTTCCAGAAAGCAGGCTTACAGAAGGAAATCCTCTGCCCATAATCAGTGCACTCTCTCTGGGTTCCCACCAGGGTTTGCCTCCCAACGCACGGCTAAGCACCATGACTCGACTCAACCAACATGACCTCTCCACTCAGGGCCAAGTGACTGTGGTTTTAAGTGTGTGTGAGGCAACACATGTTTGTGTATTTGGACAATTCCCTCTATTGTTAATAGAAAAACAAATGTGCACATCAAAGTTTCAACATTTGATTCTGCTGCGACTTGATTTCTTAACTGTTGAAATGGACAGTTCATTGTGCGCCGCGATCCTGAATCCCCTTGTGCTTCTTGTCTCCCGACAGCAGCAGCAGCGAGAACGCGAGCTGAGGAAACAGCACGAGAGGGAACAGAGGAGGCGCTACGAGGAAATGGAGCAGCTCCGCAGAGAGGAGGAGAGGAGGCATGCGGAGAGAGAACAGGTTGGTAGATTTTTGGGGGATTTTTAAAAACCTATTGTAAATATCCAGAATGATGTCACAGAAATGTGCAACGTGATGATGTTGATTCTAAAATCTCTCATTCGCCCTTAAACTCTTGTTTTCCCCCGTCTCTTCTTTTGGCTTCCTGAGTCACTTGAGCACTTGTCTCCTTAAATTACCTCGGGGACATATTTTTCTAACCTCTTTTTTTCTTACAATTTCTGTTTTAGACACATAGAACTTGAACATTTTCAATCAGATGTGATACAGTTGCGCAACACAAAGCCCAGGGTCCCATTTCCATTAGTCGTTAAATGTCACTTTCTGTTTTTCAGCTGCGGGGTTATTGCACAGGAAACATTGAAACATTTCTATCGGATTAAAAGATTAATTTAATTTTAATAATTTTAATTTAGCCTAATTTTAGTCTGGCTGCAAATGAAATGTTAGAATTTAAATGTAGAAAAGGTCTGTGTCGATCATTTTTGAGTTTAAGAAGTAATGATCCAGAAGAGGAAATGAATGTACAGTATATCTTAATGGTTCAGTGTGTAGAATTTAGTGACATCTAGTGGTCAGTTGCATGTTGCAGCTGAACACCCCTCACCTCACCCTCTCTTTCCAAACATAACAGAGTGTGGAAACCTTCAGTTGTCATAAAAACTCAAAAGGTGTTTAGTTTGTCCGGTTTGGATTACTGTAAAAAAACATGGCTGCCTCAGTAGAGAGGACCCGCTCCCGATTCAAATATAAAGTATTTCAATGTAAAGGGCCCATTCTGGGGTAAAGGAAACAACAATTAGTACAATTTAGATGAAACATAGTCGTGAAAACATCACTAGGATTATTTTATATTCAATTTCTGCCAATAGTTGTTACTGTTCTTTATAGTTATCAAATTTTCGTAATAGTTCATGTTCTCTGATGAGGAGAAATGCACTCAGTCATTGTATTTACTATATAAGGTCTCTAGGACAGCCCTCTTCCACCTGCCCAATATTATGAAAATGAGAAACATCCTATCTCATAAGTATCCTGACGAACTAGACCATGCTTATGTTGCCTCTTAAAACGTTCCTCTTGATCAGGCTTCCTTTAGTTATGCTGCTTTAGGCCACTGCTGAGGGCACTGTACATAATAAGGCCAGACAAATGGCTGGACTCCATGACACTGCTCGTGATTAGATCCGCTGAATGCTGTGATATTTTATGATCTCTTCAAAGCCAAAACTGTTGAGCGTTTGAGCTGTTCTGAAATAACACTTCAGTAATTCTCAAAATTATATTGAATTAACACACGTCTCTCCAGATTAGCTTCTTGGATTTTTACCCTCACGATGAAAAGATAAATCAACGGTTAGCATTATTGGATTACAATACTTCATTCACAGTGTAAAATGATTATAACGATCCTATTAGGTTTTTATTATTATATGTGCAGACCAGAAACCTTTATAGATGTAGAGATTTAAATATCTGCTGGTCCTGTTTGTTTCTCCCACTCTGCGGCTGTATGAACTGTAGTTTGATGGTTCTGTTGTTCATCTTTGCCGCAATTCTCTCTCGTGTCCTCTCATTGAACTAACTGCTGCTCTGGTGTGTATGTTTTATCTCTTTCCTGCTTTATCTCTGATACTCTCCTCCCACGCTTTACTAGTGGTTTAGAAATATATCCTCAAACCTCTCTTCTTCCTCCATCTCTTTGTCCTGTTGCCTTTGTTTTGCATTACAGTTGTTCGAGAATGCAAAGCTTCATTGTGGCTTCTCAGTCTCATCTTCTCTCCTCATTCGCAGCCACCTCTGGAGATTATCTTCTCTATTTCTCTTTCTATCTCTGTGTTCTGATGTTCACATTTCCTGATTTTTTTACTATTTCTCTGTCCTCTTGGTGCCTCGCTGCTCAGGAGTATATACGTAGACAGCTGGAAGAGGAGCAGAGGCAGTTAGAGATTCTCCAGCAGCAGCTACTGCAGGAACAGGCGTTACTCATGGTAACCATAGTCCTCCCACGTCACCACTGCCCCCCATCTGTGCTGTGTGATCCCCATATCCCCACTGCATGTGCCCGATTGGCAGTTGAGGAACTGACTGTGAGGGAATTCACAGTCTGAGTCCCTCAGCGCGATCGCTACAGATTTTTAGGAAAAACATGAAGTTGAGATGCTTGACTTGTGTTCATTCGGATCACTGATTGCATGTTCAGATCCAGTAAGTTGGCTGGATCTCAAAAGATTCCTCAGAGGGTGAAGAAGAACAGTTTTGATCAGCCCCAAATTATCTTGGCCGAGACAACCTGCAGAAATTGGACATTGATGTTTTCCAGAGAGGATGTTTCTTTCATGGCCTTGTCTGGTCCAGGACATAGGGGGTCCAGGGGGCAACAGTTTTGTGCTTTATTGGTGCAAGGTATACAACAGAGAGCCTTGCAGTATTTGTCCACTGCTCCTTTTGAGATCCAACCCAAACAAAGGATTGATTCCAAACACCAAAACCCAGGGATGTGTTGTGGCTTCATTCTGCCAACCTTCCTAGTAACATCCCGAACCCCAAAAGTACCAGAAATGTTCTACCCGACTTTAACTGGTCTATCATTTCAATTCCGGGACCTGAACCCGTGCAGGACCGAGAAATGCTGGAGCCGGGAGACACAGACCCGATCAGCACCAATTTTAAATTTTACATTCAATACCAAATTTTTTAAATTGTGTCTCTAATTTTTAAAAAGTGTGTGTTTTTTTTCATGTTTTACCCATATGTGTGTTTATCTGTCTTGCATGGTCTGTGAAAGGGAGATACAGTATTTGCAAATATTTGAAAGATAACACAAGTCCATCAAGTATCCTATTGGTAATTTACAGCTTATGTGTATACTAAGCTGGTAAAATCCACACATCTAGCAAATTTGAGTAAATACTGAGGATTATTTGCAACTACTAATTTTCTCACTGCTGATCATTAACGGGTTGAATATTGTGTAACAATAACTTCTCTGTGTCTGTGTTGATCTGTGACTCCCTCTGTGTTTCTCTCTTATCATCTCTTCCTCACGCTCGTAATCTTTCTTTCTCTCTTTCCTCCCTTCCACATTCTCTCTCTCTCTCTTTCTCTCTGTCTCTCTCCCTTCCTCCCTCCAGGAATACAAGCGTAAGCAGATAGAGGAGCAGCGGCAGGCGGAGCGGCTACAGAGGCAGCTCCATCAGGAGCGAGCCTACCTGGTGTCTCTGCAGCAGCAGCAGCAGCAGGAGGGAAGGCAAGCAGAGAAGAAACAGCTTTACCACTACAAAGATGTCATCAATCCTACAGACAAGCCTGCCTGGGCTAAAGAGGTAAGTCTCCATCGTGCATGAAATACAAAAACATGCATGTGGATCTGAAGACGTGACTTATCTCTTAAATGTTTGGACTCCTTGTGCACATTCACATACCAGTGGACTTTTTGTGTTGTTAATTTCTTATTCCACAGGTCTCACGAGATGCCATGTTCCTGTAAGAGTCTGCACATACTTGAGAATTAATGCTGCTGCTTACTGTGATGTCTATATTCTAAGTGTTTGTTATGTCACTTACCTTCCTCTGACTCTGACTTCTAGGTCCAGAAGCAGAAGCATGCTCATGGTAACCCACCCCAGTCGCACCTACGACATCACCAGTCATTCAACCAACCAGTTTCATCATCTTATTCTCAAGGCCAACCCAGATCCCAAGCCCCTAGGCGAACCCAGTCCCACCTCTCCACCCACGTTCCCCATATCTGTATTTCATCTGACCCCAATGAATCCCCAGAACTGGCACTGAAGCAGGAGATAAGTCAGCAGGTCAGGGAGCTGAGGGCTCAGGAAGTCAATAGGAGGAGCCGCAGTCCAGGGAAGAACCAGATACAGAACCATGCTGCTGACCAAGGACCCATTAAGGGCCCTACAAGGAACTATTTACATTCTAGTCCAGGGCCAATGAGCCAGTCTCATTCAGTGCACAATCCTAGAGAAAGGGCTATCTCTGCACCCAGTAAGGTAGGCATCATGGGGCAATTGTCTCCAGACCAACACTTTAAGGCCCTTCCCCTTCATCTTCAGGCGCAAGGACAGATCCAGATACTCCAGTCTGGATCAAAACATGTTTCCGACCCTGCTGTCAAACCGGTTAGTCACTTTACTCGTGCCCGGTCGCACTCACCCTGCCTTAGAGTAGATGTAGATATAGAACCCAATGATCAAAAGTTCGAAGGGGGGAGGCTGGCTGTCAGCCTCACCAACATCCACAACCTCAATATTCCCTCTGAGAACAAGTTCCCAGTTTTTTCCTCTGATGAATCCCTCTCTGAATCCTGGCCTGAAAGCACTTTCTGCTCATCCCCTCTCAGACAAAATAACTCCCTCTCACCTGACTCCAACTGGGGCAATCTCCTCGCCCCTGATTACAGTCCCCGCTTTTCCCCTACATCACCTAGAGACGGAGGAGCTAGGAAGAGAAGTAGCTCCTCTATGTCTGACCTCTCTCCCTCAGAAGCGAGTTTCACACTGAAGCCGTCTAACCGGCAGGACATTTATCGAAAATCCTCCGAACACATATCAGTCACCCCAACAAACTCCCGTGTCAGGCCTTTATCCGCACATTTTCCACATCCCATAGTTCATTAAAACCTTTTTCCCTTCATCTCTCTGTACAGCCTTTCCTTTGAATTATAGACCCTTCTTGAAAGCAAATATAAATAAGAACAACCACAGACACACATACACATACACACACACACACACAAACATGTTTGTACTTCTATAGTTGTGATTGAAATAACTAATGCAGTGACGTTTTAAACCTGCCTGTTTGGTATGGGCTGTTTACCAAGGACCCATAAACTGCATTCTAGTCCAGGGCCAGTGAGCCATTTGGTGACGCTCGACTCAGTATGCAGAACCCCAAACTGGAGACCCACTTGTTGTCGTTATTAGTGTTTATTAATGTTAAACATATCGCCTGACTACATCACACTTAGTTTGTGCATCCCACACACAGACAGGCGGAGTGGAATTCGTAGACATTTACATTTACATTTAGGGCATTTAGCAGATGCTTTTGTCCAAAGCGACTTACAATAAGTACATTTGTCACAAGACTGATTAATTCTGCAACTACACGATGAATCCTGACACTGGGATTCATCTAACACTTGGGGTGAAGTCCTCATAAGCAGAAATATACATCCAGTGCATACAATTCACAAACATACACACTTTGTACATTAAAGATCTGTAAACAAATATATCCACATTTATCTCTATCAAGCTTGACATTACGTTTGAAAATACTCTACATTTAATATATTTGATGCTGGTGATTGCAGCTTTTTTTCTGAAACCGTAAAAGGGACCATTAATCGGATAAAGTTTTTCGCTCCGATTTTATATTAAATGTTCTTCATGCGTGCAAACATAAGTTTGAATCATTTACTTAACTGCTGTTTTTCATAAATTGCTAAATAAAAACTATTATTCAGCACAAGGCATTGCAGCACCCGTTCCCCATTGACTGCAAGGCACTGCCCGGTTATTCACATTTTATTAAACTTATTGTGCATCCAAATCGCACCAAATATAACACTACACCTCCTCAGGCCATTAACAACACACAAGCCAAGAGTGACGCTGATAACAGTTTGCGAGATATGTTCCACATACACACAGAGAGACATTGTTATAATAATCTACTGGGACGGAAATCCAGAGGAGAGGAGCAGGGATCATCTAATATCCCCCAATTAGTCAACCTCCGCCCTGTATTAAGCCCACACCCTCCCAGCCCCATTGTGACCCTCATCACCCCATACCCCACAATGCACCATGGCAAGCCCTGCTTCCTGACACTTCGGTGTCTGTGTCATCAGGGACACCCACCCACACCAACTTCCTAGTAGGTTAGTCAACCACTCGATCAAATCCAGGCTTGGTGATGGGTGCTGGCCAATTGGTGACGGGATCCTTCTAACAAACAATGAAGCCTTTGTCCTCCATCTCTTTTTCTCTGTCCTTTCTTTGCGTAGATGCAGCCACGGCCATAATTAACTTCCTCCAATGCTCTTTTTTTTCCCTCTCTTAGTATCTCTACCATAGCAGAAAAAGCTTTTGGGTGGTAGACTTGTGACAAAGACTGAAGCAGCACTACCCAAAAGGTTTTTCTCCTGTGAAGGGTTCCTCTAATACTAATCTTTCTCTCTCTTGTAGGTCAGCTGATGTTAATGCTAACTTTGATCACACACTGCGTCCACAGATCAAACTCTTCGATCGCCTGAATCACCAATTGTTTCTTTTCCATCGGTTCTCCGTGCGTTGCTCTTCCAAAATGAAGAAATAAAGTTCCCCTGAGTATTAGATGTTATAGTTGCCTAAATGTAGTTGACTCCCTAGTGGGTAACTAACAAAGATTTGAGGAAGGACACAGTATATCATACTTGCTCTGACCCAAGTCATAATCTTGAGTAATTCCTCTAAATTATGAGCTCATGCGGAAATACAGAAAGCTTCCGAAGGGGATAGTTCTCACTGCACACGCATGTTTACCTGAATGGCTATTGACATTATGCTCTGCTGATCCATGACTCAAGCCTCCAAGGGCCGTTGAGTAGATTGGTTATAGTGAAAAGTGTGATTGGGGCAGCTGGAAGCATTCCTCTGAGCCTTCTCTTGCTGCACAGCAGATAATCTCATAATCTGATTACCCTGGCAAGAGGAGCTTTTTGCCTTCCTCACACACAGAGATACGGTGCGTGTTGGATTTGACACACATGCGCACTCCCAAAACTTGTAGGAAACAGTCAACTCAAACGTTTAAGTGCACAAACAGTCAATGGTTTCATATGTCTGCCCTTGCACCCGCTCAAATCCATGATTGTAGTCTGAATGTGGTGTGGTGCTGTAGGAGATTAGAGATCAGTCTTGACCTTTCCTCACAGCCACCAGACGTTCTTACTCCTCAGCTGTATGTGGGACACAGAGACGCACATTAGTACATAAACAGATGGGGACAGAAAACAATCAAAAGACAGATGGTGGTAGAAAAAGAGGAAAATCTACAGCCAAAACACATTGGCACCCTCAACTTCCGAGTTCTATGATCAGGGATTTATTTTACAGAATGCTGGGGTTGTGTTATTCCTCAAGAGATACTAAGACAAGTTACAACCAATATTTCCATTGAATTCCTCGGTTCAAGTTCGATCTTGAGTCACAAACTTCTAAGTATTTATATGCTTCTTTATTATAAAGCCGTGCAGTAACTTGCATGGCGGCTTCTCCTTCATACACCATGGCATGTTTATAGTTAGTGAATCACCTGAGGCAAAAGCATCTGGCAAATGAATAAATGCAAAATTAAGTTCAAAGATGATTGAAAATACATCAGGCAATGTGAGAAATCATAAACATTCAGTCCAGATCTGTTACGTGTCACATTGTGGTTGTTGTCCCACAGCACGCGGGGACGTTGAGGCGGTCTGGTGGCTCGTAGGGATGCATGGGGTGGGGGGTTGCGTTGATGCCCAGAGTGGATCGAGCGTGGTGATTGGTGAAGTGCTGAGTGAGTGACAGTGGTATGTGACCTGTCCCAGGTGGAGGAGCGATCTAAGCTGAACCGACAGAGCTCCCCAGCGCTGCAGCACAAAGTGTCCAACCGCATCTCCGACCCCTCCCTCCCTCCCCGCTCCGAGTCCTTCAGCAGCGGGGGCATGCAGCCCGCCCGCACCCCACCCATCCACCGCTCCATCGAACCACAGGTGTGTGTGTGTGTGAGTGTGCACATGTGAAACGGTGGGTGTGTTTCCTGGTGACCACAGTGTTTCCAAGCAAATAATAAACATACTTCCTTGCTCCTTGTGCCTTATAATTATAAACGTTCTTGGCTTCATATTCGTCAGTCTCTCTCTTTCCCTTTCTCTCCTTTTCATCTTTTGTCTCTTGCATGTCTTCTTGACATATTCACACATTTTAATAATTATCCTGAAACTCCCCCCCCCCCCCCCTCTGCTCTGTTATCTATGCCTTTTTTCTGTTTCTGTCTCCATCTTTACCATTTTCTCCCGAACTGTCTGGCTCTCTCTCCACCTCTACTATTCTCCTCCATCACTCCTGCCTTTTTCCTTTTTACATTTTATTTATTTCCTTTCTCTAAACCATACACCACTCAATATGGCTCCATCCCACTTCCTCTCCTTTAATCCTCTGTTTCTCTATCTGTGCCATGCTCAACCTCCTCCAATCTACCTGACTCCTTCCCTTCACATCTTCTCTCTCCCTCTCCATCCCTCAGATGGCTCACCTTGTTCCAGTGAAGACCCACTCCAGCTCCATGTCCGGCTCTCAGTCTCTCCAGGAACAGACGGGTTCAGTTCTGAGTGAGGGCGTCACTGTGGGGTCCCCCAGGCCCGAGATGCCCCGGCAGAACTCAGACCCCACCTCCGACACCCCGGGACCACAGCTGCGCATCACTGGCAGGGAGGAACGTGATCGGGAACGAGACAGAGAGCGTGATCGAGAGCGGGACAGGACTGCGTGGCTGAGAGAGGAGGACATTCCACCAAAGGTGAGTCAAATTCAGAAAGAAGATTTCTGTAGGTGTCACAAAAAACTATGTAAATGTTGTTTATTTTATTCATTCAAATCAGCCATTACACATACATCAAAGATTACAACAAATAATTTTAGATCAAATTCAATCATCCAGATTTAAAAAACATTTTGCTGGCAAAAATATGAAATCGTTAATATCCAAACAAGCCTCATCATGCACATCAAGGTAATCACATTCCAGTGCTGATTCGATTACGTCTAGTTTTTCATCATTTGTTCGGGTTTTGAAATTGACTGAGGCTGTGATGTATAATTTCACACACGTTATCCTCTCCAGTCCGATGATGTAAATTAAGTGATGTTGAAATTACAGCGAGAGGAGTGGGCTTTGCAGGGATTTAACAAGCTTGTGCAGAATTTGAAAAATGCTGCCGGGATTAAGCTGTTGACTTGGAAACACAAACACGATATGAAATGCTTCATTTTCCACCCCGTGATTTTAATTCTGATTAGACTTTGTTGGCATTCTCAACCGGGGCAGGTGTATCATTTACAAGCCAGTCAACGGTGATATGATATCCCTTTTCGAAAACGTCATTGATCCGAGCTCTGAACTCATTACGAGGGGATTAAACTTTGTCTGGGTGTATTTGCGTGTGTTCAGGTCCCCCAGAGAACAACATCCATCTCCCCAGCCCTGGTCAGGAAGAATTCCCCGAACGGAGGAGGGGGTCTGGGCCCTCGCACAGGTTCTCAGCTCATACGGGCCAGGTAAAACTCACATTAGCACACTCACACCTCTGAAGTCCAAACTAAATCTGAAGTCACAGTTATAGCATCAATCATCCATTAAGCCACTTGCACCTTTTTTGTATATCTCAAAACACAATATAATGAAATATAAAAAAGTGCTACTTTTACAAAGACTATAAAAGTGAACAAAACTGTTCATAAAGAGAGAAAACACTTATCTCATTCCTCAACTGGTGATAAAGAAGCAAATGTTCTGTCAAACTGCCTAAATCTGTTTTTTACACCATAAAAGTTGCAGTTTATCCATCTTTTGTTTTTATGAAATAAATCCTCTGCAACTTTATTATATAATAACAAAAAAGGGGCTACATTAGCAAATACTTGCATATTATCGAAAGCGTTAGAACTATGAAAACATAACGAAGGCGGTAAATCTTGCATTTCTACATTGTATATATCTGTATGTTTTATAGAAATTGGTATATCATTTTAAAGGATCTGAGAATTAGTGAAACTAATATTTTCTTCCTGTTGCAGTAACCCAGACCTGCGGCGCTCTGAGCTCTCTCTGGACGCCATGCTGCAAAGAACCTCCTCCAACTCGTCGTCTTCCTCCTCCCCTTCATCGCAGGGAGGCTCAGCTGAGAGGAGAGGTACAAACACACACTCTCTCAAACTCTAAAACACACACGCACTCACCCAAATACACCTTCACCCTTGTTTGCGAACAACTAAAAACTGGTGTGTGTACGGGAAACACACACGTACACCGACACGGCGTCGGTGTGTTTCAGAGACTATCAGCAGGACTTTGTCAGTCGCAGTTCTGCTCTGATCAACCTGTCTGATGTGCCCTGTTGCTCTCCGCCTCCAGAGAGACAGGGGAGAGGAAATGAGGGAGGGAGATAGAGGGAGGCGTAGAGCGATGTGTCAAACACCAGGCCGGAGAGATTTCTAAGATATGCATGGATCTCCCTCTGACAAACACGTGGCATAAAGAGAAGTAGAGGTGTGGTCAGGCCGTAAATATTCCCTGAAATGTAAAAGATGAGAAAGATAGTTTGAAGAAAAATAGTAAATAGCCTAAAATTCTTGATGATTGCAGTGTGATTTCAACAGTAACAGTTTATTTTTAATGAAATCATATTATAGGACACATTTAGACTGAAACCTTTTAGACAGATAAACGCTTGAACCCTTTTTAAACTAATCTCTTCAAATCACCACTCACTTTTGCTGATTCTGACAACGCTTGTTTTGTAGGTCGAGTGTGTAATTACTGTCTTGTTGTTAGGTCAAACCAAGCAGGAAGGATCCCCTCCAGGAGCCAATCAGGAGGCAAAGTCCAAACAGGAGGAGGGCCGTGAATCAGCCAGACCCAGCAGACCTGCAGTGAGTCACACACACTCACAAACAAACAAACTCACACACACACACACACACACACACACACACACACACACACACACTCAAATCAAAGCAATCTCCTCTCCGGGAATCTTCTACAGGTCTCTCATCCACTTTTTCCTGCTATTCATCTGGTTCTGTCTTGCTTTCTCTCCTCCTCTGCATCTCTCTCTTTCTCCTCTCGTTCTTCAGAGCTATAAGAAAGCCATAGATGAGGTTAGTGACACTCGAGTCCCCTTTCTTTTTTTAATCCTGGTTTTTCCTTTTTGCCTCCATCTTCAGAGACCCTCTTTTTACCCTGGCATGGTGGAGTTGCTTTCACAAAACAATGACAGTAACTTTGAAACATCAGGGGGTGTGATTGGCGGCAGCGGTGCATGTGTGCTTCTACACACGTACCTGAGAGAGTGTACGTGGGCGCGTGCTAATGCGGGTATATCCGCGCGTGTGTGTGTTAGAGACCTGTTCTGACAAGCACCTGAACACTCTCTAAATCTCTTCTCCTGTTTTTTTGTTGTCACGGTTACTTGTCAGGAGGAGCTGGTAAGCCCACCGTGTATGACCCCCCCCGCCCCCGCCCCCGCCCCCTGCCCCACCCACCACCTACACCTCCGTCTGCATGATTTGGTCTGATCCATCGGCAGGGTTGAATGGGGAGGGAGAGGGGGGGGGGCACGGGTCAGTTGGAATGGGAATGATTGGGTGGGGGGGTTGCGGAGTGATGCTGCGCTCCAGTAGAACCTCCAGCCTGATTATCTGTCTCGTTTCTTTTTTCTTCTGACCTGCTTGTGATGTGGTGAGGGAATGAAAGTGCTCGTCTGTGATCACTCCGCATTTCACAAAAAAATTTGTGTCGCTAAGCCCCAAAAATAAAGTGGTCTCAGATAAGCACTCTTGTTCCAGGAAAAGCTGTTTTTACAGGCCCGGATGTTTTTGTGTGACGACGGATCAGTCGGGTGTGTCGAACTCTTTGCCCTCCTCTGCTCCCCTCTCGCTCTTGAATGTAAATCGGCCCCTTTGTTTCTGATGATGCAGAATTGAATGACTTTGCTCGTGTCTCCTCTCCTCTTCTGTCTCTACAGGACCTCAGTGCATTGGCGAAGGAACTCAGAGAGCTGAGGGTAGAGGAGGGCAGCAGACCTCCAGTCAAGGTAATGTATGAGGATGTATCTAATAACGATAAGAGGCAGCATTTCATAACCTAATATATCTATATCAAATGACTCCTTAAATATCTCCTAGTAACCGAGATTTTACTATTTCACCGTAATCTTTATTA